AAGACTTGAACACCATGTTCTCCCAAATCAGTCAAGTGCCTCTCCAGTATCATCAACAGAAAGTCCCTATTTATACTGTTTCTCAAAATGAGAGTAATAATGGGTGGGGTTTATTAAGGATCAACTGTGTGCCTTCCACTTAAGTGTAATCCTCCCCACAAACCTGCAAGGTAGGAAATATCCAGGGAAATTCAGAGGGTTTATGTGAGTTTCCGAAGATCAGCCAGCCAGGTTTCATGCCTGAGACCTTAGGCTCCCAAAGGCCATGTTTTGCCCTACATACCATGATGGGTGCTTTCAAAGGGCTCACAGTGCAACAGAGGCAATAAAATAAGGCGCATAAATAACAATCTGACCATACGAGGAAGCCGTCTTGTGAATAATAGTGCCAAGTATTGCATAGGTTTGCAGGTAATGAATCTATGCCCATGTGTAACCTCGCCAAGAACTTCAAGTACTAGTATGATTGTGCCATTGGAAGTCCTGTCCACGCATCAGTCCTGCCCCAGCCAGAATGATCCAGAGCTTACTCGTCTCGGTTTTGGGTCAAAATATGTTTTGAAGGTTCAGTGTTTTTACTGAAAATGTAATCACTGTTACTTTTAGGACATGCTTAGAGAGAGGAAGGGAGAGAGGGGGGGAGAGAGAGACATTGACATGAGAGAAACACCAATCGGTGGCCTTCCATATGAGCTCCAAACGGATTGAACCGCAACCCAGGTATGTGCCCTGGCCGGGAATCGAACCAGCAACCTTTCGGTGCACTCAGCCAACTGAGCTACTCAAGCTGGGCTGCTGTTACTTTTATTTCAGCCTCACTTTTATTGTGAAACTTTATGAAATTTAGTCTGTCAGTTTCAGGGGGTTTGAGGCCATTTCCGTGCCTGAGGAGTCAGATGTTTCCCTGAGAAAGAGAGGGGCGCAAGCAGCATTTATCAGCCAAAACCTAGAGGCTCCAACCAGAAATCGAGTCTCTAGTGGTTTCTGACAGTTTGTGCTCTCTGTAATCACCATTTCGTCACGGGCTTAAAATAATGGAGATACAGGGAAAGTGCAAATGAATCCTGTAACAAGATTAGCCAGAGGTCTAGTTCCTCGTTCGTCTCGGTGGAAAACGCAGCTCAGGTGCCCTACCTGAGTCTTTTTCTCCCCTCTCCTGAACCCCATTCTCCTCCTCCCTCAAGGCTTTAGGGCGGCCAGGCCCCATCTCCTTCCTCCCATTTAAACCTGCTCACAGGACGGTACAGACTTCGGAGAAGGTATCAGTGTGCTTTGAAACTGATCTATCATTAGGGGCCGGAAGGCATTTTATCTGCTGTGAAAGGTCTTAAAGGCATTTTCCAGGCCCGGGATCCTGTTCAGGCCCCTGGAGTCACCTCGGGCAGGGTGTCTGCAGGAATGACGGCTTCGACTTGCAGAGAGGGAGGGGCAGCACCGTGGCAGCAGGCGTCTTGGTCTGGGAAGCTGAGGCTGGGCAGGTGGGTTACAGGAAAATGAACTGGCCGCAGGAATGTGACCTTATATATTTGCCGGCTGCAAAAAGTGAGAATTTTATTTATTTTTTTCTGGATGGAAGTTTTTTCCACTGAAAATCTAAATGTAATTTTAGCGATTCTCAGAGATCTGAGAAAGGCCTCAGACTTTGAAGTTCCTATTTAACATAGGTAACTGGTAACAGATAAAATGTTATGTGTTATTTTACATTTCAGTTTGATGACTTTGCTTCAACATTTATTTATTTGTCAGACGACTTAAAGCTGGAAGCCTCACCTCGAAAATTCACACTAATTATAATGAAAACGGCAGGATTAGAGGGTGGTAGCATTTTTTTATGGCTTCCAGGCTGCATGGGACGTAGCATCTTCATTTGCTGCTACCAAGTCTCTCCTTTTTGGCCTCCTTACTAACCTACCCAGTTCTGCCTGTGGAAGTAAGAACATTTACCATACTCCATTTTTCAATGACAAATCATACCCCACTTTCCAATTTTATTATGTTAAACACATTGCTGACCGGTCAGGCGTATATACATGTTTCTGTGTCCTAACATTGCATTTATATTCATTTAAGTAATTTTAAACACCTTGCTGATCAAAGTAGCCGGCCACTCGGGCGAGTTCTGGCTTGAAATAGTCCGTCAGCAAGGTGTTTAGTCAGCAAGGCCTTGAGGAAAAATGATACATGCTGTGGGACATAAGGTACCATACAGGCACATGCTACCAGGAGAAAACGACCGAGGAGTGTGAAGCTTGGGTGTCGCGTCCCATAATGCTCCCTGGGGACAGGCACCAAAGTTAGGAGAAGAGCAAGCCCCTCGCTGCTGCGCTGACTTAGCTCCCTCCTCCGCCCATGCTGAAATCTTATCATCACTTTCCACTCCCCACGTGCACCTAAGGATCAGAACTTAAAAAAAAAAGGCCATGCAAAGTTAACATTAAAAAAATAAATTTATTTCAAGTCTGAAATACTGAAGGACAAGCATATAGATAAATATTACAAACAGCAAAAATTAGAACATGAAAAATGACTTAAGATGGATGGGGATTCTCCCAGCAATACTCTGAATTTACACATAAATAGAGTTTTAAAGACATTTCCCCACGTTCACAAAAGGCAAAAGCTGTGTTTGCAACCCTTATAAATGTGACAGCTACGAAAAGCCTCCGATTTCTTTCTAAAATAATTTGATTAAAATGTACACAAGTGTTGGTCACCCAACTCCATTTCCCAAAGATATGACATAGAATTATATGATATTCTTGTTTGACATGATACAGACAACTTTAACTCAAAATACAGAAAAATTATCAATTCATTTTGTATTTTATCATATATTTCATTCATTAATTGACAAGGAAAAACAGATGTGACATATATAGCTTTTCAGAAATAAAGTATTACAATTTCTTTCTGTAATTTGTTCAAAATCTCAGGAACTCAACGAGTACATGATTATTTCAAACAACACTGACAGTTTAAAATAAAAACAACCATTTAGAGGAGGGACCTTAAAATATACTTTGGGGCATAAAACCAGTGCTATAAATAGCTAAGGAAGGTGCGGAGTCAGCATATTCTGCCCTCACTCTCACCAACTGAATGAAAAGGCTGAAGATAGATTTTAAATCCCTGCTTCCACAAAGTAACAACCACAGCCGCTTATCTAGTCACCCAGGGAATGTCTCAGCTATACTTTATCCAAGTTCCTGTGGTACAATGATTTGGTCTTCCCTGTGACAAATGGCATTTAAAATTTTAAAAAGATTTCTGAGATCAAATTGAACACATTCGTTATATGGATGAAGGGAATGCTGCCCAGAAGGTCACAGGGACAGCTAGAAACAGATCTAGGACATGGCCAGGACATGGACTTGGAGTTCCTGGTTCCCAGTGAAATTCTGGTGACACAGCCTCCAGGGTAAGAGCCTATGTAACTGACTTTTGGTTGATTACAGAGGATATTATTTCAGTATAAAGCGATGCATATACAATGCCCGCTAATTCACTTAGAGGGCATGAAGGGTACATCTGACTGGCTTTTTTGTTTCTTTTATGGACATAATATAAATTATCATGGCTGTTCAGATGTCATTACTCTGAAGAGGATGTTCCCTTATCAGTTTATAGAGTCAGAACGTGAACATTTAAATTCTCACTGTAAACAAAACGCAGAGGTAGGCACTGTGGAAAGACATTTGGTCCTATTCTGCTTGCCCTGAGCGCGTGGAAGAGCAGACTGTTTCCACAGTGAAGACACCATCCACTCCCTCAACAAACTGAGGGGGCGTGAACCTGGGCACAGCATTTCGCAAAGGACAATGGTCATAAAAAATGACACAGGAGGAACAGAATAGACAGCATTTTTTTTTAAATCCTCAACTGAGGACACGCCCCACC